TCGGCATGAAGTCCATCCAAACGTTAGAAAAGACAAACTAAAGGCAGGATATTTCCTTCTATATTTAGCTCTGTTTCCTCTGCAGAACATTTTTCATCGCTCGAGGATGAATGATGACCTCATTTTCATGATGGCTTTGCTGCCAAGTGCAAGACGGCATATGAGGAGTCAAAAGTCAAGTATGTTATATTGTTTTCCTAGATATGATTATCTTGTTGTAATCATTCTGTTGTATAAAACTTAAAGTGGTTTATCCTTTGATAATGCAACAGGCGGTCACCGCAGTCAACAGAATTGAACCTATTGAATCTGTATTACATAGAACCATGTTGCAACTCTTTTTAGACATATCTCAATTTTTAAAAGAATAACGGATTTTTGTGAGGATAATTAGGATTGCAACGTACGATCTTTAATTCTCTACCTAACAATGGTAGGCTCGTCACAGACTTGGTGGAAAAATATTCAGGAAGTTGAGAAAAATTCTTTGCCGCTGAAGTAGCCAGGTTGAGATTCAAGTTGATGGATTAACTTTATAGAATTGTCCCTCAGTGTCCTGACGTTGTTAAGGATCTAGCCTCAGTATTATTGTCAATGAATGATGAATAAGGCTTGGTGTTTATCTGATCTTACGGTTCCCAAAATTGAGACAGTCAGTCGTTCCGCTGAGACCGTTACAAATTCGTCAGACCGACACTTAAAATCGACCTATGCTTCGCGAAGGAACTGAGATCGACCAGCGAACTCAGTTCTTGGGTTGAGTGACTGCTTTCGTGACTAAATGGCCGCTAACATAGTCCCATTTTCTCGTTGTCGTTCGTAAAGTATCCCTGATTATGGTTTCTGTACCAGAAGAAAAAAATTCGGAGTAAAAGGAAAATTTTACGTCATATCCAAGGCCGTTTTTTGCAAACAGTGAAAAACTCGAATAAAATTAACGTGTTGATAAAACTTGCTTCCTTAACAAGCCTGGAGACATTCATCAGTACAATGTTCCCATGGACCTTCGACGTTTGTGCCCGGAGGGAAACGAGTCTGTGAGAAAGTGCTGGTGGCAATGGCGCCGGTTCTGAACATGGATTCGTTCTGAACCTTAAAGTGAAGCTACCACATAGCCGGTCCGTCAATGAATGATCCTCGTACCTGATTCCATAGACGTTTCCCTCTGAGATAACTTGTCATGAAGAGTTGTATTCTGATAACTATTATAATATGCTGTAGCGGCAACCGTTTGTGTATTTGGATGGACAGTAAAGTTGTGCCGTGAGGCAGCGATGCATCTCGGTTCTATTTTCAAACGGATGAAGGGATGAAACATCATCACGGAAAAAGCACTCAGAGAGCTGCTACTCTAAGCAACCCTAATTCTTACGCCTGTGCTGAAGGTCACAATGTCTCGACCTCGACAAATTCCTCTACAAACCTTGAGAATGTCCACAGTGATAGATTTCGATGACTCGGACAAGTCGAACCTTGCGAGTAAGATCAGAAATGCGCTAAGTTGTTGGGATAATCTTGAAGAGCAACAGAATATTGTGCATTTATGTCGCCGTTTGCTTAAATGGAACTTATCCCCTAATTACGAGATTTTTATGCATTTTAATTATTATTAAACTTTGCATATGTAGGTCCATGGACGTCAGCAAGTTCGTTCTTCATTCTTGAAATGATCGCGGGCCATTACTAATTAATTGGTGATTACGTTATCACTGAAATAAATTCCATATTTTATGATTTCGCTTTCTACGTGACAGTAAGGTCTGATGGAGTGGCGAAATATTTTGTGCGAACAGAAAATGGGTCCCCTGCGGAGCTCAGAAATGCGAAACGCGATATTTACTCTGATGTCGCCTGTCGCCTGCTCGGGCAAACTTAACCACTGCAAGGACGTCCATGTGTTTATTCTGCTGCGACGGCCAGAGCGAGACCGTCGTTGATTTTATCACTGCTTGTCACCGGCAGAGTCTACATAACTTTCTGGTGCCCATGGCGTTCGCAACTGCAATATAACCATCATCTTTCATCTCCAGAGAAAGCGTATGTCGTACATTCAGAGTGTCACCGCTTGGCTCTGACTATATGCTTTGAAATTTCCCCTCCTCCTCCTCCTCTTGCATCTCTCTAACGGTCGAAGCTTTGATGATGTAAGAAATGATTTCAGCTGGAAGGTCCTTCATTAGGCTTGGAGGTGCCATTATGTGCTCTGCGACTGCTTCGCCTTGCCGGTTGTTTCCTGCCTTTGCAGTCGTATGTTAAACGAACCAGCACCGGTTGTGCATGAAATATGTAGCTGGTCAAAGTCCAAAAGTTATTATTAAAATCTTATTAAAACGATTCTGTTGAACTTTTAATGAAAACTCTAATCTGAGGCCTTGACCTTATCGGTCTACACAAAATAAGAAGATAGCTCTTAACTGCTGATGTCATTAACTGTCACAACATACGAGAACAATATGTCACACTGAATTTGAAGCGGTTATGCGATCTCTTATTTTAGCCATTGTTCACCTTCGAACCTTACCTTATTAGGTCGTTTTATCCAGTTATTCATGCCTCAGCACAGAACTGAAATCAGCCAGCCTTTGAAGACTGAGTAAAGTAGATGGATGCGGATCTTTTTTGCTAAACAGTTTTCATCTCGTCCTTCGCCTCACCTTGTAAAACAAGTACGTATCATGATTTCATTCTTCTGAAAACTGCTAGACAGTGGCTTGATATTCGCACAAATACTCAATATGCAAATTGCATCGTCTTTGTCATAGTATATGTTTATGTCTCCGCAGTCTATCCTCAGTGAAGGAATTTGATTGGCACTTGTGCTACAATCCCTGATCGGAGAGCTAACAGCCCTGTACAGGGTACGTACGCCATACTGTGCGAATATGCATCTGTTTAAATGTGACTATTCAGCTGCCTAAATTTTGTTGCAACCACGGCAAGGACACAAAAATTTGGCACATGCACTATTTTGACAAACTTTTTGTCAAATTTGTTTTTTCAAGGGAAACATGGGGCATTACCACTTAAGCTAATCGATAAGTGAGTGGATAGATTATCAACGAGCCAGAAGGCAGTGATATCGATTAAGATTAAGTCAAATGGCCGTGTCATGTCCCAGGGGAATTACGGTCACGCAGTTTAAGTGGCTGCATTACGGTTTTGACCATGTCATCGGTCGAATATGACTTGTCCAATATATATTCAATCAGAAAAGTACATGATTGGATTTCAGTGTACGGTATTTACAAATTCAGATGTGCAGAAAATACGACACTTCCAAAACACAACAGAAAACGGAAGAGTATAATATCAACTCAAATTATTGAATTCATGAGAAATGATGCTCTACTCTCCACTGTGTCAAGTTCGTTTCGTCAATAAAGTGGGACACGCTTGTGTAAGCTTCGCGATCGACACTACTCTCTTACACAGGGACAGTTCATTAATCTATACAGTAGACGAGATAAAAAGATTTTAAGGCTTCTGACCGGTCGTTTGTACCAGTGAACCATTCCTCGTTGAAAATGATGCCCGTTTAGTTTCGATCATGTGTCGATGTCGATGTTCAGCACTTTGAACTAAATTAATGGGTTTAATTGCACAAGCCATGTTACCCTTTATGAACTACAGTTTCATTTTACTTGCTCATAGCCGATAAATCAGCGAGTAGCTTTACCGTAGCTAAAACCGATAATAACGAATTTGAAATACAGGACTGACGGTTCAGGGAGCTTAATTGAGAAGTTAGACCATATTGAGTAAGCTAATTATCGAAATGCCATGTGTTCAGTTAACTAGTTCGTTTAACATAGGTTCGTTCATCACGGCATGCCCACGAAGAGCTCCCTCGTGTACAGACAAACACGAACATGATGAAATTTGCATTTG